GTGTATAGCAACCCGATATAACACCTATTAAAGTTCTTGAAAAGACCTTTAAATTGAGTGGTGGTAGAAGTCGTTAGCATGAAAACTAATGAAGTTACAATCAAAATAAAATTATTGTCTTGATTTTTGAGAAAAAAAAAACGGTATTAAAATTAATGACTTGACGGAAAAAAAATTAAACGTATTCCTTATGCAGTTTACTTTATTTATGTATTAACAGTAGATTCTGGGAATTTGAACAATTTTAGAAGACTAAATTAAAAAAAAAATTTCATTTACTTTTGAATAAAATTTTTCAATTTTTTGAAAAATCGCCTTTTTTCAAAATATTTCAAAAACTAACAATGTTATAAAAAAATTATCGAATAAAAAATTGTAGGTTTTTTCTTACTGAACAATTTGCTTTTTTTTTAATTTCTGTAGGACAAAATTTGACTGAGTTATGACCGTTAGAAGCTCAAAACTAAGCTCCCTTTCCTGAGCCCTTTTAGCTTACAAATCTAAAAAACGAAGAGCTCCAAAAAACTGCAAATCACAGAACTTAAAGTGCTTTAATCCCTACAAATTGGTTTTTTGAGTAAATTTATAACTTTAAAATTACAAAAGTTATGGTAAAAAAATTTAATCGCATTTTTTCGGTAAAATTTTCGGAGCGGGTAAATTACCATCATCTTTGTGTATTTTGGAGCACTTGTGAATTGATTTGACTAAGTATTTTAATAATATACATACACACACTTATCCATTTATAATATATATAAAAATTTTTTATTTGATATCAATTTAATAAAAAAATATTAATNGGTAAAATTGGTGCGCGCAGAGACGGAAAATGTAATATATTTGCACTAAATTTGCAATAACTTTGGTTAAAGTTAATCTTTTTTTAATTTTCAAAAAAATATATGTTTGTTGTGAGAAAACGTAATAATTAACAGATAAAAAATTGTACTAGCTATAAAAATAAACTTTTTACAGCCATTTAAACATTCAATTTGTTAACAACAATTAAACTGACCACTTTCAGGCTTTGCCACCAAGTTTTTTGGTTTCGAGAAGTCAAAATACTTAAAAATAAGTTATTTGCAGCCGTGGAATTCTGTTTGGCTACGGAAACCTATCTGGCCCCTAGCCCCTAGACTAATACGAGTGTAGTAGCAAAAAGTTGTCGGTCTTTTATCAAAGGAAAATCGTATCAACAAATTTAATTTAAAATCTAAAATACGGGCTATGTTTTCGTAGTAGCTGTAGTCGCCCAGGTGCATCGAGTGTACGAAGTGGTCGGTTATATGTCAAATACTAACCTGGCGAGCTTGAACCTGAACTTGGCAACGCTGTTCCTTTAGCCGACAACTGTTCGTGACATTACGTTACAAAATTTTCCGAGCATCCGGGCACCCGCAGGGCAGCCCTCGTAGCGGGAGTTATGGGTTGATTTCCTTCATTTTTAAAAGTCGAGTAAAAAATTTTTTTTTCCGATTTTCTGTCTTTATTAAGCTTTCCGAATACGTGGTTAAAATTAATGACATTATGACTGAATCACCCTGTATATGAATGGATTGACGTGAAATTTGAACTGTAGCTAGGGAATAACCCAAGAAACAAAAGTTATATAGTGCCGATGTGTGCTTTTACCCTAGAGGTGGATGCCACCCCTTCTGGATGGTGGGATTTTTTAATTAAAAATAAGCAAAAAATGTTCTATAAGAATTTTTTGTACAGTCAATACTTTTTGAGTTATTTGCGCCTAAACATGTTCGTTTTTACCCCAAAATGCATGTTTTTGAGCCATTTTTCGCGAATCTCTCAAAAACTACACGTTTTATCAAAACAATGATCATAAGCAAAATTGAAGGTAATTAAATAGCAAAGAGATTGCTTTTTTATTTTTTGTAGGTGGCATAGAACCCCAGTTATGACTCCCAGAAGTTGAAGTCAATTTCGAAGATAGCTATAATCGAAACGTTCAACGTCCTGTAGCGGAAAAATTAAAGGTTTTTCGAGGAAAACTTATATAACACCTATTAAAGTTCTTGAAAATACCTTTAAATTGAGTGGTGGTAGAAGTCGTTAGCATGAAAACTAATGAAGTTACAATCAAAATAAAATTATTGTCTTGATTTTTGAGAAAAAAAAAACGGTATTAAAATTAATGACTTGACGGAAAAAAAATTAAACGTATTCCTTATGCAGTTTACTTTATTTATGTATTAACAGTAGATTCTGGGAATTTGAACAATTTTAGAAGCCTAAATTTAAAAAAATATTTCATTTACTTTTGAATAAAATGACATCTGTTAATAATGCTGA